ATCTCAAGCAGGGACAGAATGTTATTTTTCTGTTTACATCATAAATTTCAAATACCTTTATCTGCATTTTGCCAGTAAAGATTGCAATTTGGTAAGCAGAGATTGATCTATTCAGTTTTATAGCTGTTCCTGTCAAGCAAAACATAGTCAACAGGCGCCCAGGTACATCAAAATGAATGGTAATACATTCACTTTACAGGCATTTCTCCCATCATCTGCAGCAGGAATCAATCCAACATTGTTATCATTTGTTGACAAGATCCTTGCGTTTGCATCTATAATTCAAAAGACGAGCTCCGCTGGGCTTTGAAAAGGGAATCTTCTTGCTCTAAATGAATCAAAGTTGGACCGCTGGGATCCTGCATTGCTTTCCTCACAAATTAAATCTAAAAGATGAGGCATTAGCACTGCCACAGTTCAACAATTGCACTGCTTTTTTTGTATGATACATTCTCAATGAACACCTCAACTGTGTGGCATAGAGGGGATTCACAAAAAAACACAAGACCATCTCAATCAAACAGGAGAAGAGGATACTAATGAAAGAAAGGATATGGAGTGACAGTAACAGGAGCTGTGTGTGCTTTAAAACAGAATTGGGAGCGCAGAGGATGTGTAAAAGCCGAGATGAGAATTGGACTGATAACAGGCCTCTCAGAGCCTCTGTTCATCTCCCCTGTTCCCATCAGGCTTCGGGGGACATTTATTAAACAAGAACGCGCCATGTTGTGTCTCAAGCTACCTGATCCTTGCACTTTAGTTTCATTAATTTGACTGAATAATAGATCCCCTGCAGACTCTCTCTGTGGCTGTGGAAGGAGAGGAATTACTCAGGACTTAAAAACTTCATTAATAAGTAATTCTACACAGTCACTCTCTCTGCCTAAATCCAATACTGCTCACACACAAATATAAATAAACTGGAGAAGTCATGAGTCAAAAGTCAGTGAAAATTTAGTTTGAATGACATAGTTGTGGGTTTTATTTTAACAAAGTTATTAAATTACCATTTAAAAAGCATAGTTCCAGTATTAACATTTGTTGAAATAAAGACAAAATGTTGGTGTGGATCTCACTGCTGCATCTGTGGCCAAGACAACAAGTCTTAGTGATGTATCAAGAACAGGTCTTTTGTGTAAACAACACACCACCAAGAAGGACAAACCACATCCAACAGGAGTAGTTGTGGACGCAAAGGGAAGCTGTCTGTATGGGATGTCTAGGTGCTAACCTGGATTGTATTCAAAAACATAAAAACCACAGCTGGTCAACTCACTGCAGAATTAAAAGTGCACCTCAACTTTCCTGTTTCCAACAACACTGTTCATCGGGAGCTCCACGGGGTAAATAAGCATGGCTTGGCTGGAGTAGTCAAATCTATTTTTAATTGTTTCATTGCCAAACATCAGTTTCAACGGTGCCAGCAGCAAAAATCTTGGGCCGTGTACAATGAAAAACTTGTATTGTTCTCTGATTAGTCCACTTTTGCTGTCTTTCCCACATCCGGGAGAGTTACGGTGTGGAGAAGCCCCCAAAAAGTGTACCACCCAGACTTTGGCATGCCCAGAGTAAACCATTGAGGGGGATCAATGATAATTTTGGTTTTGGGATGCAATATCAGGGCATTACTCAGGCCCAATTATTGTGCTAGATGGGCATGTCACTGCCAAGGACTACCGAACCATTCTGAAGGACCATGTGCACCCAATGGTTACAATGTTATGTAATGAATGGGATGCCATGTATCAGGATGGTAATGCACCAAATACTTACAGGAAGACTGGTGCTGAGTAGTTTGATGAACATGAAAATGAGGGTGGACATCTCCCATGTCCTGCACAGTCACTAGATCTAAATAATATTGAACCACTTTAAGGAATTTTGGAGGAGCGGGTAAGGAAATGTTTCCTCCACCAGCATGATGAAGTTACCTGGCCACTATTCTGCATGAAGAATGGCTCAAAATCGCTCTAGCCACTGTGCAGGACTTGTTTGTTGGCCATAAAAAGAGGCCCTTGCCCATACTAATGCATTATTGTCGTCTAAAACCAGGAGTTTAATTTTTCATTGTCAAACCTCTGTGTATGCAGCTTAATTTTGCCGTCAGTTCAAATGATTTACTCAGGAACAAGTAATAGATTTATGAGATCAAAGACACATAAACGCATTAAACATTTGATTTAAATAGCTTTAAAGATTGAAACATGTTTTGTTTACCTCTTGCTGGGTCCTGATTAACAACATTTGCAAAGACATGTTGTCCTGCCTCTAATGGCTCATTCAAAGTATAGTATATATTTATCTTTGAAGAGATACATTTTCAAAGGTATGTATTTCTTATGCATAAAGCACTAGCTGGGAGCCTGCTGGATATCCACAGTGATCAGTCAATCACAGAGCCACTGGGTACATGTTTCCTGGCAAAATTGTCATTTACCACCCAGTGTCATAAAGGCTCCCTGCATCTCATTTGAATTGATAAAAATGCTATTATTGCAGACTGTACAAGTTTAATTGCAGTTTTATAAATTACTTTGGCAAAGCTAAACAGTTAACAATTCGAATTATAGCAGTGCTAGACCATGTATTCTTGGCTTGCCAAAATGTGCTAATGGTCAGTAATATATCAAATTAAGTGTTTATTATTTTTTTTGCTTAAATGTTTTTTTTTCAATATCTATATAGCAAACTTGAGAGTAGACTTTTAGCATGCATGCATATTTTTTAAACAAATTTTTAAAAATGTAATTATACAATTATACTTTTTATAAAACAGTTTTAATTTATTTAAATATATATATATATATATAATTTATATATTAAAATGTAACTTATTTATGTGACATAAACACATTTTTTTCAGTATTCATGTTATGATCTGTTGTGCCACTTAATTTTGAGAAACTGTAATGTATTTTTTTTTACATTTTATTTATTTATTAGTAAAAAAAGTTTATAAGAACAGCATGTAAATCTAAATATTTTAACCATTCTAAATGAAGTTTCACAAACTAATTTCGAGAGGAGCATGTGATATGATTGACTGGATCTGGCCACTCATCTACACTCATTAGCTAGCCAATCAGATTGATCCAAACTCACTATAAGTATTCTCGAAGAAACCCCCCATCCACCCATTCTCCTCCTTTCCTCTTTTGCCGAGGGGAGCTCTCGATAACACCTGACCTTGTAGTCCCCTCACATGCTCTATGGACCAGGTGGGAGCCCTGGGCTCAACTGTCTCCGAGCTCAGGGTTCTCTCCCAGGACAGCATGCCAAACCTGCTAACTTGCTAACAAGTTGTCAAACAGTAAGTGTGAACTCTTGAAATGGCTTTTTTGTCCTTTTGGATTCTTTTAATGCATCCTTGCCAGCGAACCAGCGACCTTCTTTGTGTGAGGCGACAGTGCTAACAACTGAGCCACCGTGCTGCCCTAAATACAATTATTATTATTCATTCATTCATTCTCTTTTTGGCTTAGTCCCTTTATTAATCTGGGGTCACCACAGCGGGATGTACTGCCATATGTTTTACGCAGTGGATGCCCTTCCAACTGCAACCCATCACTGGGAAACATCCATACTCTCTCATTCACACACATACACTACGAACAACTTAGCCTACTCAATTCACCTACAGTATACCACATATTTTTGGACTTGTGGGGGAAACTGGAGCACTCAGAGAAAAACCCATGTGAACATGGGGAGAACATGCAAACTCCACACAGAAATGCCAACTGACCCAGCTGAGGCTCGAACCAGCAACCTTCTTGTTGTGAGACGATTGTGGTACCCACTGCACCAATGTGACGCTCAATAATTATTATTATTAGTATTATTATTATTATTATTATTAACAAAAACCCTTCTGAACAAACGTTAAGATGTAAGTATTAGCAAAAGTGAATCTGTTGCAGTAAATGTCTCTAATTTACATATTCTACAACATGTAATTGACTTTCAAGAAAATCTATTTTTCTCTTGTTAGTCATCAGTGTTGCAAATCCAATATTAGTCTGCTTAATGCAGAATTTAAGGTCACTTATAATGCATTAGTTGACCTTTGGGCACATAATCACTGGCATTGTCAGTTTATTGATAAATAAGGCTTCACACAAAATGTCAAATCTTGTCAGATGGTTTCTTTTGCCTTTTCCATACGTTGTCTTCCCGGTCATAACACATTTGTTTCCGTTTTTGCGTTCTTCCTCTGTATTTGTGTCAGTCTCATCATGTTCTCAGGGTACAGTCACTACACTCCCATGAACCCAAATCATGACAGACATAACTGCGGTTCGGCCTGACAGTCCTGATCAGCTGAACCCAGAGTGATTAGATCCGTCTGAGCCATGAGCATTAGTGCTGAGGACGGCTAACATGGGGAATCTGCTGTGCATGCATATAATACAAAAACACTGCATGTCTGGAGAATCGCCTTACTGATGGAAACATGACAATGAGGTCATGAAGGGGATTAATATCAGTCACAGAGAGGGATGATTAGAATACAGATCAAGCCATGATGCTGATGTGTTCAGGGTAACGGCAAAGTATACTGTAAAACCGAAACTAATTAAATTAGTCATATATATTAACATGGCTATGTGAATTGCTCTAGACGTTTTAGCCAGAAAAAAATAGAAAATTAAAAGGATGTGACATCTATGTAGTAGGTGACTTTAAAATTAGTAATTTCCCCATCTCTCAACATGATGTTGGTTAATTGCAGAGCTTTTCAATACTACTATGATTAGAGGCTTTTTTAACTAGTGTTTTTTTCACCTCTTCTTTGGTTTTCATTCTAATCAGTAAATAGTAAAGTGCTTTACTTTTACCCTCAGTCTTGCTTACTTTTACCTTCACACAGATGTGGAAAAAAATATTTTGTTGTCACTTATTGTCCATCTGTGTCTCTAAAAAAAGTTTCTGAATTCTGGAAATGATGGCTTTAAATTGTTTGTCATATAATAATTCACGTGTACTTTGTCTGCTTTCAGGAGAATGTCTCTGCTTTGATGGCTACATGAAAGACCCAGTTCACAAACACCTTTGCATCCGCAATGAATGGGGCCCAAATCAAGGGTGAGTACCATCCATATCTTGTGTTGACTGATTAACATCAGCACTATGAAAAGCAGGAATCTGGCATCTTGATGTTGTCTGTGCTTCTTATCGGTAGTAAAAATGTCTTCACTTCTGATAGCCGGCCAGGTGTTATGCACTGTTGGGAAATTAAATTGGCTTGTTTGAATTAATTAGCTTTTTTGCATTATGCTCTTCTTCTGGAATTGGAAAAGGGATTAGAGCAGTGAAGCTCTGGGTCATTTTAGATTTGTGCGACAGTGATTTACATGTCAGTTTACTATGTAATGGGCATTTTAAATGGTCTTATAGTGTAAGAAATGTTGTCATTCGTCACTTGCATGCCTCGTGAAGGAAAAACTATTAAAATGATAAAAATGAATTATAATACTTTTCCAGTTTGTGAACTTTTGTTGTTGTTTGAGATGTTGTAGCATATACGATTATTTTCTAAACAGATGGTATATTATATTTTCAGATAAAAATGTTAGTATGCATAACCAGAATGTTTTCTATTAAAGTGGCAGCCAATACCATTAACCCCCCACCCCCTAAAAATATATATATTATTAGTTATACAGAGGGTATTTTGGAAATATTTTTAGTACCATACATCAGAAAACAATATAAAATGTGCAGAATAAAATGGTGCATATAAAGAGGCAATGTTCCAGTTTAGTTTTTTTTGAGCATAAAATATATATCTATCTGTAAAACCTTCAGTATGTCTATATAGTATCGCACTACATGTACATTTTGACCTTGTGGGGAAGTTTTTGGGTCATTAATCAGGAAAACAGCTTATAAATGACAGAGAATGAAGTATTTTGGAAAGTTAAATAGGCTGATTGTTACCTGTGAGTGTTGGGTTTAGGGGTTGGACTAATGTTTGGGTTTGGTTATGATTATTCATTATGCAGTTTGTACAGTATCAAAATCATTAAATCTATGGAAAGTCCCCGTTAATATAGCTCTCTGTGTGTTTGTTTGTGTGCATGCATGCATGTGTGGTTTATGGTAGCGCTGCAGAAGTGAAACGCTTATTACATATTAATATGGGGAAAAAAGTAGCAGAGTAGCAGATACTACATTTTATAAACCAGTCATCATAAATGGAAAAATAGTAGAGCAGGTCTCAAATTTTTATTATTTAGACACAATTACTGACAAAAAAACGAATTTTTATAGTAATGTAGGGGCTGTTTATAAGAAGCCAAGTCAATGCCTCAGTCTCCTCCGCAAGTTGAGAAGTTGTAATGTTAGTACACAGATTTTAAACATGGCATGTAGATCATTAATAGAGAGTGTTCTCACATATAATACATATGGTATTATGGTTTGGTAACACATTTAAACAGAAGAAGAAATGATCGCAAATTATCAATCAGGCAAATAAGATAACTTGTTACAAACAAAATTCGCTAAAGATTTTATGAGACTTTATGAATAAAAAAGCAATTGTGATTTTTAAAGTTATTACGCATCCCCTTTACTCAGCTTTTAAAATGTTACCATTAGGGCGCAGGTTTAAAGTTTCTAGAGCCTGAAGAAATGCTTATAAAAAGTCCTTTAACCCAAGAGCAGTATTAAATTGGATCACTGTTTACTGTGAATGGTGCAGTTGTTAAGAATGATCTGCAGTAATATGTAAGGGGCTAATTTGTTTTCAAGTTTTTAATTCCTGTTCTTGTCTTGATAAATGTTGTAAATGTAAATTATCTGATTGTTGTATGTATGTTACCAGTGTTAAAGACAAATTTCCTTTCTGTGCCAAGCAGAAGGGACAATAAAGTTTAAACCAAACTAAACTAAATTTATTCAGTTCAGTTAAATTCATGTTTATTTCTAGTGTGTTTTTACAATGTAGATTGTATTAAAGCAGCTTAATATTGAAGTTTAAGTAAATTGAAACTGTGTCAGTCCAGTTTTCAGAGTTGAAGTTCAGGTTAGTTTAATTCAGTATGGTTTAATTTTCATAGCTGAAACACTGAAGAGCAAATCCACAAGTCCCAAACCAAGCAAGCCAGTGGTGATAGTGACGGGGAACAGAACTTCACCAATTGAAGAAAAAATCTTGAGAGAAACCAGACTTAAATGGGCATGACCATTTCTCCTCTGGCTTAACTTCTTGTGCAGAGCTGGAGTCTAGGTGCCAGGGGCTAGAGAACACTGGTACTCCGCCGTGGAGAAGGTGCAGGTGTGAGTAAAGGCTGATTTATACTTCTGCATCAAGCGCACGTGTATGCTACGGCGCAGCTTACGCGTGGACGCATAGCCCTCGCCTTGGCTGTCGTTGACGCTGATGTGCACCTCTCAAAAAAATGTAACTACACTACACAACGCTCTAACACAGCGATTGGTTGGCTTGGTAGCGCTGGCGAGTGTGGGCGGAGGTGAAAGCAGCGCAAGTGTGGAATCTCCTAAAGTAGGTCCGGATGGAGATGATGATGAGTTGTTTTGTGTTTACCTTATGATTAGAGTTGTTGCACGTCCGCCGATTCTAGCCTCAGAATGAGCAAGTTTGAACCACTTGTACATTAAGGTAGCGTTCTGAAAAAACAAAACACCAGCGAAAAAACTCGACACAGAGAAACATAAACACTTACTGCCAGTTAGCATTTCGGGAGTGATATTGCAGAGCAGCACACGCAGAAGTATAAATGCACAGCTACGTGCATTGCATGCGCCGTGTGTCACGCTGATCACTTGACGCAGAAGTATAAACCAGGCTTAAGGCACCGGCGGGTGTTCAGGCTAACCCACGAGATCAATGTGGAGTCTGTCACTGGGTCTTTCAGGAATCAGTTTCATGCTCTTCACTCCTCCATGACCTGCACAGCATCTTCGCAGGATACGGCCTGGTCCACGGTTATGGAGACCTCTAGAAGAAAAGAAATTTCTTGCTCAATGCAGGGAGAGAAAAATGTCACTTTTAGAAAATGATGCTGTTGAAATCTAAATTAAAAGACACAAACTGATAAAGTGTGACTAAATAAATACTTAAAAGTGTTTTTTGGGTGTTATTTTTATCTTGAACTTCCCAAAACCACAACATTTCAGTTGAAAAAACAGTTTTGAGTAAAAAAAAAAAAGGGGTTTGTTCGTTTGGCTCTTTTGGCTCTTTTTGCTTTTCGGTCCAGAAATAATGAAATTACTTAAGTGTTAGGAGCGCACGTTTCTATCCCGCAAAGACTTGTATTTAAGATGTTTGAAGTTAATTAGAGCCTCCCTTAGGAGAGTTTCACATGTTCATCTGGGTTTGAGGCTGTCGCTCCAGAGCAGTTTGATTAAGACTTGGAGGTGAGGAAATCCTTGGCACTTTAATTGGGAGGGAGATGGGAGTGATGACGGTTGGTGAGATGGATCCGATAATTAGAAATCAAATTGGAACAATCAGAAAGATTGCCTTGGGGGAGTGGAATAGCGCTGGATGTTCTTGTTCCCTTTGTGCCATGCTGAGAAGGTGTGAACAGTTTTTAATTGACTCTAACACTTATGGAGGAGAACGAAAGTCCGATGTTAAACGCTTAGTAAAGTTTCAAACTGCCTAGATGCTTGCACATTTTTAAAATAGCCACTTGTGCCTTTGTTTCATAAGGCCAGGGGGCTCCAGAGGTGGCCTGTAGGTCAGAATCATAACAAAAGTAGATGTGCTTTTAATGTCATTTGAAATCAAAGTTGTGCATTTAATGTACACTAACTGACAAAAGTCTTGTCGCCTATCCAAGTTTTAGGAACAACAAATAATAACTTCTAGTTGATCATTTGGTATCAGACGTGGCTTATATAAAAGGATTACACTTATTACAGTTTACACTTATATACTTAAATAAAATATGATCATGCCTTGATTTTTAATTATAGAATTAGGACAGTAAGGTCTGACTTTGCTAAGACATAATAATGCACAGTATACAATTTAAAGTCATAGTGCAGTGGAAAAATAATTAATATTGTGTAGGACTCCCATGAGCTTGAATGATTACATCCATTCATCTCTGCAGCGATTCAAAAAAATTATCCATCAAGATTCTTTGGATCCATTTTCAATGCCTCCCTGTTTCACCTTTCCCCAGACTTGCTCAATAATGTTCATGTCTGATGATTTTGGAGCGACTTGGCCTTCTTTGCTAAAAGACTTTGATAAAGAGGCTAACATATTATGCTGCATTCACAGACATGCGGCGTGATACACGCGAATGAGGTGGCGCGAATGACGTGATTCACATGAATGCAGCAGCGTGATTGACCCTCTTCAAAAGGCAAATTGCTTGAGTAATAATAATAATAATAATAATAATAAGAAGAAGAAGAAGAAGAAGAAGAGGAAGAAGAAGAAGAAGAAGAGGAAGAAGACAACCTTTAAGAAGCAATCCTAAGCATAAAAAGATGCTGTAAAATACATTTTGTTGGGTTAAAAATACCCCAACGTGTAACCCAACTATATGTTATTATAGCACCTTCTCAACTATGCACTGAAAACCCTAATAAGTTGACTGAACTAAATTAATAGAGTAAACTCGTTGCTTCAATTTAATTGAGTAATGAAGTCTCCCAAAACTTGCATATTTAAGTTTATTTAACTTGCTGGTTTTGTAGACTGTACTTAAATTGTTCAGTTCACCAAACTTAGCACTTTAGTAGATTATGCTTAAATTGTTCAGTTCACCAAACTTAGTACTAAGTTTGGTCAACTGTACAATTTAAGTATAATCTACAAAACCTGCAAGTTAAATAAATTCATATATGAATTTTTATGATTTATAAGCATGCATAACTCAGTAAACACTACAAAAATTGATTTGATTTAAAGATATCATCAATAATTATATTAATAATAATAAAACCTTTGTAAGCAATCCGAAGCATAAAAATAATTTTTATTTTCATAATTTTTTTTTTTTCTGTTTTCATTTTTGAAAATTCTAGCTTTTTTAACTCTTCTGTTATCAATTATAAATGTAGCAGCACACTTGTAGATGTTTAAACAGCAGTAGGTGAACCCCGGTGTGAAATGATGTAACCAGGTTGTGACTGCTCTTTTTCTGTGAGTAACAGCTTATTTAGAGAGGCATCAGCTCCTTGTCTTTTCCTTTCGACTCCAGCGACAGCCTCTGTCCCCACAGCTGCCTTTTTGCATTAATCTCCATCAGTTCACATTGAGCTCTGGATAAACACACGCTCATGTCTGTACGACACTGACTGACATGGCTGTCGGGTCACAGTTTTTACAAAGAACATCTGCTAGAGGAAATTCTGTGATAATCCTAATAGGAACATAATTGGTTTGATGTGACTTCATAAAGGAACTCCCTTTTATAAGATGGTTGTTTTCATCGCAAAGTCATGCAATTTTAAAGGTCACGTGGCTTAGTGAAGACTGGAACTGTTTAACAATGAATGAAGAGTCTGTGGGGTGGCATAGAGTTTTTATTATTATTCGAAGCATGAATTATTCATTTTGATTTTGATTTATGCCCGTTCTGTTTTGCAGCCCATGGCCCTACACAATTTTCCAACGGGGCTTTGATTTGGTGATGGGAGAGCAGCCATCGGATCGCATTTTTAGGTAAGAAAAAATTATTTATTTCCACTAGAAACCTTTTGACCAAGCTCAAAATGAGGACAAATACTATTAATAATATTTGTAATATGACTATAATTAGTGTAATGAACAGATTATGCATAAAGCAAGTCATTTTGGTTACAAGCAATCACAAAAAAATATTTACAATGTGTAAACAAAATAGCACTTAGAAGTTAAATAACTTTTTTTCAGAGAAGTGTGACTAGTTGTTTCCTAAATATATTTTAAGTACATAATTTAATGTGTATTTATATAGAGCATTTATTGTTTATAGTCATACACCCAAAGTGCTTCACAATCATAAGGGGGGTCTTTCCACACCACCACCAGTCTACAGCATCCACTTGGATGATGCGACGGCAACTACAAGACAATGGCACCAGTGTGCTCACCACACTATTGGTGGAGTAGAGAGAGAGTGGTAGATGCAGTTCAGTGAATGGGGATTATTGGGATGCCCTGATGGGTGAGGGCCAATAGAGGAAATTTGGCCAGGACACTGGGGTTACACCCTTTGGGCCCTATCATACATCCGGCGCAATGCGGCACAAGGAGCAACACAATTGTTGTTTGCTAGTTTCATCTCAGCACAAGAGTCGTTTTGATGTTTTGCACCACGCTCTTCAAATAGTAAATTCATTCTTGCGCTGTAGCTGTTCTGTTTAACTGTTTTCTCTTTAGTGAGGTGTTCAGTTTTTCCACTTATAAACTCCGCCATGTAAATAGCAAATGCGCTATGGTGAGGCGCAACTTTCTCTTAAAAGGGATGGGAGATGAGACTCTGATTGGTTTATTCTTAAAACACACCTATATCTCATTAAGAGAATAAGCTCAACCTTGTAAGACCATGAGCCACGGCGCAAAGTGGATTTTTACATCCTTAAAAAAGCACCTTAATGCGTTTGTGCCTTGCACTTTAGACTTTGTGCATGGATCTTCAAAATAGAGCCTTTACTCTTTACGAGAAATGTCATGGGATTTTTAATGACCACAGATAGTCAGAACCTTAATTAAACATCTCATCCAAAAGACAGCGCTCACTGACAGTATAGTGTCACCTTCACTTTACTTGGTTATTAGAACTCACACAGACTGCAGGTTGAGCACCCTCTGCTGGCCTCACTAACACCACTTCCAACAGCAACCTAGTGTTCCAACAGTGGCTCATTCTGAAAACGAAGTCCCAAGGATGTTTCTGGAGACCGTGAATTATTTAGCCGGAGATAGACATGGCTGCATTTCATTTTTTTTAAGCGAACGATACGGGGCGGCATGACACCGTTCCTTTTGGCGCTTCTCGGCTGAGTGCTTACCTCCGTGTGTAGGGCTTTCCGCCTGCAACCAGTTTGTCTAGTTAGCTCGTCGTGTATGTCGGCAGACTTGAGACGCAGAGAGGAGTTGACCGTGTTGATGACGATGACCGGCTTCAAGTCCGGGGGAAGAGCGGTTCCAGAAATCAGGTAAGCCAAAAACAGAATCCAAAAAATAAAATGAATGAGTAAACAACAGGGTGAGAATGTGGTAAAATCCGAGAGCGTGGTAAAAATCAGACGAGGGCTTTTCTTTTTCTGGACAGCTTTTGTAAACCGTCAGTTGGGTTTAGGGAAGCAAGCAGGTGGGCGGGTTAATCTGTAAAATTGGTTGGGTTTAAAGAAGTAGTAGGGTGGGTCAGTCGATTGGCCAGTCGCCCAGTCAATCATTCTGTCAATAAGTCAGTTGACTGCAGCCTCTGGTGGGTTTACGACTGAACAGCACTCATGAGAGACATCTGTGATGCGAAAAAGTGTGCACAGCGGCCTCTCACGGATTCATAAAAGTAAAAACTGCAAAAATAAATACCTCCTGGGACGTATTTCGTGGTATCCAGAAAAGTCCACGGGACTATGTTTTCAGAATGAGCCAGGGTTTTAGTTTTCCCATGTGGTCTCCCATCCAGATACTGACCAGGCTCAGTCACACTTCAGTAAGTAACCGGTCTTGGACTGCAGGGTGATATGGCTATTATAATTAGGTAAGTGCAAGTGTTATTTAAATATAATAACAAGTTTTTAATATAATATATGCAAGTCAATAATATAATAAGTCTGTTTCACGAATAATACGAATAAACCAATAATATGAATTTAAAGTCATATTATATGTATTAATTTATTGTTTGTTTTAAATAAAGTACCTTTATGAATTATTAAATAAAAAACTGATGCACTTTTGAATTCATTATTATTAATAATTGTATAGTTTACCCAAAAAAATAATATTTCCTCATCATTTACTCTAAATTCATAATAAACTATTATATACTATAATATATACTAATAACTATTATACTATCTATTAAACTGTCTAAATGCACAGTCATTAAATTATTGTGAATGTCTTTCTTCTGTTGATCTCAAAATTAGATATTCTGAATAATGTTGGGAAACAAAGCAGTTGTTGACAGTCACAGTAGGAACAAAAACTATTATGGAGGTTCAGGTTATTCATTCATTCACTTTTTTCTTCAGCTTAGTCTCTATTTCAGAGGCTGCTACAGCAGAAAGAATCAACAACATTCCAGCATATGTATTACACACCGGATGCCCTTTCAGCAGCAACCCAGTATTGAGAAACACCCATACATACTCTTTCAATTCAATTCAATTCATCCTTTTTTCTATAGCACTTTTACAATGTAGATTGTGTCAAAGCAGCTTCACATAGAAGATTATAGTAAATTGAAACTGTCTATTCAGTTTTCAGTGGTGTAGTTCAATTTAGTTCAGTTCAGTATGGTTTAATTTTCACTGCTGAGAGATTCACACACACTCATACACTATACGGCTAATTTAGTTAATCCATTTCACCTATATCGCATGTCTCTGGACTGTGGGAGGAAAACAGAGCACCTAGAGGAAACCTAGAGAAGAACATGCAAACTCTACACAAAATGCCAATTGGTCCAGCCGGCACTCGAACCAGCGACCTTCTTGCTGTCAGGCTACAGTGCTAATCACTGAGCCACCGTGCTACCCAAAGGTCAATTATGGAGGATGAGTAAACGATGACAGGAATGTCATTTTTCGGGTGAACTATGCTTTTAAGTCTATGTTATATGTCCAGATACAGTACATGTTGGGGCTACTTTGCATATCAAGATATTTATTATGCTTGTTGTCGCTACTCTGTATAGTTTATTCTATTACTATGACTGAGCTTTTGAAAAAATAAAAAATAAAAAAAGGTGGCTGACAAGTATGTAATGGGTTTCTGTTGAGACAGAGTAGCTTGTGAAATGCAATACACTTATTTTGTCATTTTAGCTAAGCTGACATTTCTTTATTCAGCTTCAAAGAGCTCCTTTTACAGTTCAAATAAAAACTCCAAAATGGAAAACATGGTGTAATTACTTTTAATACGGGGCCACAGAATGCAGCTTCCCTTGAATAAGAATTGTATCCATGTACAAAGACAGGGATTTAGACAATGTTTACCTCCGGCTACAACTCGAAACTAATCAGTTCATTGCTTTATGCACTTGAGATGTTTCAATCTGTGAGGTGTATGTTTTGGAATATTTATCTATGCTAATCCAATTGTAACAACATATGGTTGTCTTTAGTTGCCACGCTTAATCTTCATGGGCTGAATTATTCATAATTCTCATGCATGACATTCAGAAGTCCTTTGATTGTTTTTCGTTTTCACAAATCGCAAAGTATTTATTTACAAGTGGCATGAATCAATGTTCTTTCTCATTCCAAAACAAGACGCGAGGGCATCTTGTAATTGGAATCTGTGTTATTCTCCCCAAAAGGTGAAAAAATCTCATATCCTCTAGCTTTGGGGCCACCAAACAAATGCATTGCATTGGAACAATTAAATGTTTTATTTTCAAACAAACCTGAGATGGCTTGAATGAAAGATTTATTTTCAATTTCACAGAGCTTTTCCTCATGCATCATTGATTTGTGCCACGAATGAATAGGAAAGGCCGTAATCAATTCTGAATGCTTTTTGTATTCATTTACAGATTCAGCTTTCAATATCAGACTCCGAAATGATGTGACTGATATTTTTTAAACTTTTAAAGTCGCATTATGAGGTACGAGAGCGAGAGATGGAGAGAAGATTGTTGTCATGGTGCAACTTACATTCAGTATTTTTTTTTTAATTTAGAGTTTGTGAACACTTCAAATCGCTCTGTAATCTCATTTTCTTTCCAATCTGCAAACCATTCAGAGTTCGAAAATGTGAAACTTTCACACTCCAATCATGCAATACGCTGTCTGTAAACATCCAGTACAGTGTTGGATATTTCCGCTTGTAACAGAACCACATTTTATGGCTTTATCTTTTCAGTTCTCTTCTGAGGTTGTGTCTTTGTTTTTCATTGAGCCAGTGTGCTGAGATAGTTTAAAAGGTACCCTGGCGCTTTTTGATAGATGTGTTTTTCCCTTTTAACTTCCACCTGCGAAGAAGGAGTTTTATCCCGGCTTCAGTGTTTTGTTCAATAATCCATTTACAAGTCATTTTCCTTCAAACCTCAATTGAAGTCGTTTCACACTTGCAGGCGACAATATTCAAATCTGTCAAGCTTCATGCTATGTCCCTTTTTTTCCTGAATCGGTATATTACAAAATGCTGTGGTGAGTTTTTAGCAAATCTGTGGCATGCAAACATACTTTTTGAGCTTGAATTTTTAAAGCAGGTCTACTTTTATCATTGATAATAACATGTACACATTCTAATAATTCATCACAGAAGTTAATTATGTTTTATAATAAACAATTTCAATTATTATATTCATTCAGCATATGTTTTACACAGCAGATGCCCTTCCAGCTGCAACCCAATACTGGGAAACATACATATACACTCATTCACACACACTACAGCCAGCCAATTTAATCTATTCAGTTCATAATGAAATAATGAAACCGGAGCACCTCGAGGAAACCCATGCCAACATGGGGAGAACATGCTTAACTCCCCACAGAAAT